TAAAGAAAACTCACAAGTACAAATTTTGCAGTTAAGTGTAAGAAAACTAGAAATCCACTCACCTGTTTGAAGCACAAAAGCCAAATCCATCCGATCACTGGTGTTAGTCATTTTTTAAATCTGTCACTTGTTACTGGAGCTTGATTAATAAATCATATTCATTCTTAGAATCACCTTCCTCTTCAGCTTGTTTGGAGCCAAAATGAACAATTTTGCCTTTCAGTATCCTTCCCTGTGGTCTTTGTCATGCTTATTCACAGATGCAGATTGTCTGAGTGATTCTCACCTGCAGCCAGCAGTCTAGTCACAGCGCCTCAGGTTTCCAACCCCCTAAGCACCCTTGGTCTTTTCCTTTGTTGTGACACAATGCCACGCAACAGTTATCTACTGAGCGTATGAGAGATGTGTTTTAACCACATGCTCTTAAATAACTCAAGTCTTATTATTTCAAGCATACCGTTATTTAAAATTATCAAGGAGAGCCGAGGTGTTAATTTGGCACTTCTCCAATGGCTGTGAATATTTGAGATATGATTGGTGTTGACACGTTTAATGACTGCTAAAGCTAATTAAAGATTGCCATGGTTATATGGTTATGGTTCAAAGGAATACAGCAACAGATGAGCTGTGAAATAATTGGATTGGAAATTGTTGTTTTTTTCTTTGGAAACTTATATGGTAATTGTTATTCCAGTGTTTTTACTAAATAATTGAAATATTGGAATGTACAGTAGAATATATTATAGAATTATATTACAGAATATATTATTGAAATGCAATATTTATTTTTAACGAACAAAACATGGCAAAGATCTACAACCCCGGACCTGATGAAGACACAAATGTGTTCATCTCATTCTCTACCAACCAATTTGGTAACATTTGTGACTACAATTTAGCATTGTGTTTGGAAGGTCTAGAAGAGAAGGGATAAACAAACAGCAATCTTTCGTTCATGTAAGTTAGCTGCCTCAAGAGTAACTTGTGTTAACAATAATAATAAAAAAAACCTAGACTCGACAAACCTGAGATTTTGTTATTGCAAAGTGGAAATAGTCCTTCATAGGTGCAGGACCTTGTCCACTGGTCTCAAACAGAGTTTCTCCCAGTAAACTCGCCATTCCCGGATACCGTTGACGCGTTACCAGGACAACATCGACTCCACAGCTACAGCGTGCGTCATCTCAAGGAATGATCAGTATGGCAAGCCGTTTTAGCATTAAATACCTCTTGCTTGCGATATGATCAGTGCGATTTCACACTCACTCATCCTCCACATATTTAGATATTTATATTTTATAGGTCGCCCGCCATTGGAAGCACGGTTTTTGGCATCGCTTATTTCAGTTAATCGTCATCAGTCCATCTGAAATATTATATTGAATAAACATTATGTTATAGTAGCTAATGGGTTCTGCTCATCGGTCATAGCCATACCACTTAGACTTGTCATAGCAAAGCATCTGAATACTTACAGCAATGCAATATTTTTTATTTTCTTTTTCTATAATTGCAAAATTATGTTTTTATGGCTTTGTCACTATGGGGTATTTAGTGTAGATGTGAACAAGTAAATTTGAAAAAATGTAAGGGTTTGAATAATTTGATTCTGCTGTTTCATAAATGTAGAATAGATGGTTTAAATCAAAACCCAACTTTAACCAGTGGATGTATGAGGTTAAAATTTTGTGCAAATCTTTAGAATTGGTTAAAAACAAGAAAGCTCTCAAATTGATTTCGTTTTTGGGGCATGTATAAGCTAATGTAAAAAGCCCCTTTTGGTTTATTTTATTTGTTCTATTTATTTGTTTATTTTCTTTTCTTTTTTTCTTTATTATTGGTTTATTGTGATCTTCTTGTTTGCCACTGGTTATGCTCAACCTAAGGCTGTTCACCTGTTGTTAGATTATGTGATGTGTTTATGTACCTTGTTTGTTTGTTGTAAATGGAAGCATAATAAAAATAAAAAAACTGTTGTGAATTTGATTCTGCTGTTTAGACCAATAAACAAAACATAAATAATTTCTCATCACACATCTTTGTTGACAAAAAAATAAAATGGATGATTTCATCTGAATACATTTATAAATTATCAACCTTTGATCATAAATGTTGTAATTATAAGCTAGGTAAATGCGTTCATTAAAATGTTCTAAAGAATATTTCATGACTGTTCATGCAAGAACAGTGGTTTAAGTACCGTAATTGATGAAAAATAGGTGTCACTGACTACGTTTACATGGACATCAGTAATCTAATTATTTACCTTATTCTAAATAAGCTAATATTATGATTATGGTGTTTACATGAGTTGCTTTTAGAATATTCCTTTCATGTTCCCGTTTTACATGTTATAGTACATAGTTCGATTAATGGCACACGTCATTTCGCCCCCACTATAAAAAGGCAGTGATTTTCCCTACTCGCATTCCATTAGGTTGTAAATGTATCTGGTGTCAGGGTTGCCATGGTAACCAGTGTCCTGGGCCTTGTTCACAGACAACTTGGAACCCAGTATGTTTATTGGGTGAGGGGTCTGTGAACGTTTGTTAATCTAATGTATTATTGATTTGTTAAATCAAATGAAAAATGGTGTCCGATTGGTCCAGATGCTACACGGTTGAGCACTGCCTTGTGTGTATCCTGTCGCAAAATGCGGCGAAAAGTCCTACACGATGGTAATAATGATTAAGGTGTTGACATGTCTATACTGCACTTCAGTAATGCGACTAAAATAGGAATACTCCACATGTCTTAATTCGATTTCTGTTTACTTCGATTATGACTTCAGCCGGATTAAGGTAATCAAAAAATCTGTTTTCATGGTAGATTCTTAATCAGAGTATTCATATTAAAATCGGAGTATTGTTGTCCATGTAAACGTACTCACTCAGTCTGGGTGTTAATTTGATTAATTTGTTCCAGTAGTTATAATGAATCCGATTTTTCAGCATAAATTTTTTTTCTCTTTGCCATTATTTAGGCTACATGATCCTACTTGAAGGTACACTGCCAGCTAAGTTTAGAACAATTACAATTTTGTAATGTTTTTGAATGTTTTAATGACTCTTATGCTCACCTCAACTGCATTTACTTAAAGCTAATATGTCCTAAGTTTTGCCTCTTTGTCGTCATCTCTGTTTGAAAACCTGGAATTGCAGCTGTGTGCGGAATTATCTAGCATGTGTGGGTTGTGAGTCGGCATGCGGATTAATCTAATGTTCTGAAGAGTATGTGTGGCAGTCAGTCACCGCACTGGTGTGGATATTTACTGTACTTCGCAATCACAGATTCTAGCCTAGGTCTTGGAATATGACCCAAATAAGAATTTTCACCGTATATATCCATCTGCCCAAGTAAGTAACAAGTTTGCCACGTTTGTTATGACCAACTGAGGAAAAAAGCATTACCATAAACCTCGCTACCAATGGTGATTAAATTCAAATTATTATTATTGTTATACTTTATTCTCAAATGATTAATGTTAACAACATCAGCATTGGTGACTATTTGAGTAGTGTGTATTAGCGTGTAGATTTCAATTTCTGCACAGTCTAATCTAATTGTCATACTCCTATTAAGAAATTCTTTAACCCAAATTATGCTCCCTTCGAACTGGTTTTCTTTCAAATACAAATCTTTGTAATCCCAGGCTATTTGTATTCAGAAGCACATTTATAACTGGAATATAATTTAATTTCATTCACACGTGTTTCATAAACACATAATCCTTTCTGGATTACAATCCGCCATCAAAATGATACATTTAATTATTCTGGCTGCTGTGAGAAAAGGCTATAAATGATTGGCCACCTTCAGGCTCCTAACATGCGATAGTCTACTAGCTGGGACAACTTGTTTATGTTTACATACGTGACATGATGCAGTGCCATGCTCGAATTTCCCGCGAAAACCTACCCCACCACTCAAATTAGAAAACATTATTATAAGACAACCGTTGTGAATCGGGCTAAAGTAAGGCGATAGTTTTGAACACTTGCTGGTTATGTACTTGCTCAAATTTTGATTTCGGATCATTTTTAACCAAAAAAAAAAGTTACGGACTGCAGCTTTAATAAAAATAAAAACAGTAATATTGTGAAATATCATTACAATTTAAAATTTCCATTTTCTATTTGAATATATTTTAAAATTTAATGTATTCCTGTTTGGCAAAGCTGAGTTTTCAGCAGCCATTACTTCAGTCTTCAATGAAAAAAAACAACAAAAAAAAACACAGATGCCTGTAACACAGTAGTTAAAAATCATTTAATATTTTATACATATATTTATATATGTACACATTAACTTGTATACCTGTAATGGTAACTTTTGATGTGGTCAAAAATCCATCGACGGAGAACACCGCAGGTCACACCTGCCAATTTCCCAAGGTGCAGCTATAGAGAACCCGAGGGGGAAAATCATAGAAAAGTGAACTCTTCCACTTACATCTACTCAGTCCTTTTGTGCTGTAGACACCTGCTTTATCTACACAGCCACTTGTGCTGAACTCCTCTGCCCTTACAATAGGTGTCAGGTTTGAATCTAAACCATGTTTTCTTACCTCCTTGAGGTGATTAGTGGCATCTGTGTTTTTGCCTCAACAGAATGAAACGTTTCTGCTAGAGCTGGTGCTAAGGACAAACTGAAGTTGTTTGTACAGCTAATCACAGCATCCCTAGACACCATTGTGTTCTGCTGTTCTGTCACGGTTTCTCTTTGTGAATAACATGTTTTTAAAAGGATTACAAATGCTGATATGCACAAGGAGCTTACTTTCTAGGCATAAACCATTACTTATTGAGATGAAGGCATAAATGAGGCGGGACAATCGTGGCGTTTTGTCCAGAATACACAGATGGGTGGGGAGGACCATCACCTGCGTATCCACAGCTCTTTCTCTAGAAATGTCTAAGACTCAGTGCAGTAAATACGAAATTGGAATACTTTCAGATTCTTGAAGACAATGGAAAGTGTGCATGATGCTGCTGAGATGTGCCGTAAAAAGCGTTTTAAAGAAAGGGGTTTGTGGAGGAACCTCCTGTGGGGTACGGTCCCGCTGGGCCTCCGCCCTGAAGAGAAGACGACAAGACAAGACAATGTCTCCATCAGAGTTGATAAAGAAACATTGTTCTGAAGGTGTAATTCATAATTTCTGCCCTCCAACAAAAAAATGTTGGCAATTTAGGAGCACATTAGAAGTACCATTACTTTTCAAAGGTAATATTCAATTATATTAAGGTAAATCTACTTGGCCAGGATCAGAATTCTAAGAATCTTTAATGCAGCCTAATATCAGGAAAGAGTCAGACTGCCATTAACACATTAAAGGTGCATTCAGCAGTTTAGTGCCAATTTAAAATGTTTCAAACATTAATAAATAAATTGTGTTTTTGTTAAGTGTCATCTGAATGGTGTTCACCAAACCATTCAAATCACACTTCACAAAAACACTATTTATTTCTTAATGCGTAAATCTTTTTGTTGTACTCATGATGGTTTTCTATAATTATTTTAATTGTTATAGGGCTGCCACTAATGATTTTAATGTGTTGATTATCTTATCTGTTTTATGTCTTCGATTAACTGAATAAAAAAAAAAAAAAAGCAACATTTTATTTTCTGCATTTAAACAGTAACATTCTACATTCTGCCAAATGTTGTCCCTCAAACAATGTGCAAATTGCAGGACAAATAAAAAAAAACAAATATAGTGAACATGTTTAGTTTGTAGTGCCATACATTGTGCAAAAAGTGTTAAAATACATACCACAGATGCTTCTCTTTTGCTCGTCAAGTGAGAGTATTAATTATTGTGTAGACTGCACTCTAAAACTCCCTACTATCAGTGTCATTTACACAAAACTCAAGACGATCAAGAGATGGCAGTGCAGCGTCTAACACGATTCGATATCTGTACTTAAAATACAAGAAAAACAAAGATTATGATGCTAGCTAGAATCACTACTACAACTGAATGCACCTTCAGACTAAGGCTGATGATACACGGGGGAACTTTTTGAGCAACATTGCCGGGTAACTGTTTTTGAGCAATGCTGCTTGGGCACTTTCCCATTGAGAATGGGGAACAAATGTCTATCTGGATACTTTAGATCGGTTGTGGGCCCTGTGTCTCATCTGGTTGCCCATTGACGGCAATACTGGCCAAAAAGTTGCCCCATGTATCATCAGCATAATGTTTTCAGCAACACAAATTGTAATTCACTTAAAACAGAGGCAACAAAATGACATCCAAAATGTGCAGTGAAGATTAAAGTGTTTTCAGACCTGTAGATTGTTTACTTTGTAGTTACTTTTTTAGACAACACTGTTACAATGTTGCATGTGCAAGGCCAAATTTAAAAACGGACCTAATATATTAATGGCCTAATAAACAATCATTGGGAGCAATGTGTCCAGATGTTGGTGAGAATGTGTGCGCTCTGTCTGTGTACAAGTATATTGATATTAATCATAATACATTAAAATATTCTAACTTAATTAAAATGCTAAACAGCATTCAATCGAGATGTAAACTGAAATCATATTTCTTTTTTTACATTTTCCCTCCTCAGTAACTATAGTTTTTTATTTTTTAAACAATTCTTAATTTCTGGAATCACAAACACATCAACTCCCAGTTAATGTTAGCAAAAAAGTTGGAAAACAAGCAGCTTTGTCATAATCACAGCACAAATAACATTACTTTATATTGAGAAGCCTTTGAATGTTGTGCTGCATTATGGGCCTTCGAGTCTAAAAGGTTGAGAACCACTGTTTTGAAGAAATGAATGAAGAATATGTTCAGACTTTGCATTTACTTCACAGCCATTGGTTTGCTTACCATGAATGGGTTGCTGGAGATGCCAGGTCCTGTGACCACCTGCCCATAGTTGCCCATAGGTTTGGCCTCTCCGTAGGCTGGAAACCCCCCTGAGGAGAACCATAGAAGAAGAACGGACATGGTGCTAGTGCATTAGACTGACAGACATTAAAAACTGATCTTAATGCTAAAGCACTGAACCTGCTACTCCAACACATGCAACACCAAAACTCACACCAAAGCACAAAAAGCAAAAGGAGTTGATGCTTAATACAATACAAACACAGCCTTTCTCATAACTTATAAGAGTATGCATAAAAGAAAGGCATAAGCCACTGGGGGTTTGGGCCACCTCACACTCACAAAAAAAAAAAACTAGTCTCACATACCATTGGGCTGTTGGTGGTAGGCTGCAGGTGGGGGAAAGGGACCTTGGCCAGGGAATTGCTGCTGGAAGGTCCCACTAAAACTGGTTGGCAGGCAGTAACTGGTTGTGTTCCCAAAGCCAGCTGGCATGCTCATGGAGCCAGTACCAAATGAGGCTAAAATAAATCAAAGGAGACCAGAGGAGGAGTAGCATGTTTCATCTGCTCATTCCTTGAATGGACACACACATAACGGGCATGCTGATCTCGACCAAAGCTAGGTTTAACCTGAGGTTGCTGCTCTTCCATTGGTTTGGAATGGATTTGTAGACATGGGCTCCTGAACCATCACAGCAGCCACAAATGGGTTTGTGGAGGGGGCAGCTGCACAATGAAATGAGTTTAGTCAGTTTGAAAATCATAAAAGTTAAAACGTAGTAACTTAAAAGAATCTTAAAAGCTACACCTGCAAAACCCTGTTGCATGTTGGGTAGTCCTGGCTGAGATTGAGGTGCAGCAGCTCCTGGGACACCTCCAAACACACTTTGGCAGTGCATGCACACACACACCAAGATATACATGAGCACACACAAATATTAAAGCATAAAAGCAAGGTGATTGTGCAGTAAATAATACAGTAATCTCTCACCCTTGTACGCTTCCACTTGTAGTGGTTGAACTGTGGGCACTATCAAGCTCAGCCAGGGCAGCGTAACGGTCCTTTGTTGATGAACTGCTCTGAGGCAGGGCAGGAGCCATACTGGGTAGTGGCGAGACGGATATGCATCCACCTGAATCGCAAAAATTAACTATGGCTTAAATTTATACTAATTTATTCAAATCTTATTGCATTAACAAATGCATAAGGGTCAACATCAACAACAGTGTGTCCACAATAAAGAAGGTGGGAAATTATGAAAAAGGAGAAATAGTGTACACCATTGTCAGTGTAAACTAAAACTATAAAACATTTTTTTTACTTGTCTTGGCCACTAACTGAAATACAAAGATTACTAAAACAAAGTTAAATGCAATCATATAAAAAAATAAGAGCACATAAAAATTAGAAAATTAAAATACTGAAGATACTATAATAGTATATAAATACTGAAATAACACTGATATACGGTTTTGTTTTATTTTGGGTGAATCGCACCATATGACATTTTACAACCTGAACTAACCTTGCCTTGTCACACAGTCAAGGAGATCTGCAGGTGTCCTTTCTAGGATATATTTTCCTGTTTTATGCTTCATTTATGTTAATTAATTTATGCTTTAACTTTGCATTTTGGTCGCACCATGTGACTTTTGGCTCTAACAAAAGTTTTTCAAATATTAATATGCAGTTTTGTTTAATTATTTTATTTTTTCCCAAGGAAATGATAAGTAAAAATGGTCAAACTACTTAATAATGCTTTCAAGACTTATAATTCTTAAAAAAAATTTTTTTTTTTAATTATTTCTTAATAATGGTATCAGGACAGCTGTATCACCCTGACATTTCAGACTTTATGCCTCCAGAATAAATTCTAATTCAGAAATGAAAACATGCTCATTAGAGAAGAGGTTTTTTGAAGTCACTGTATGTATGAACTGCATCTATTAATAAATCAATAGATGCAGACAAAAATAAGGAGTCAATTCATTGACCAATTATCTTCCTTAAATTACTGGCACAGTACTGTTAAAGTAAGCTAACAGCAACAACACAGCACAGGGGTGACATTTAACCGATCGATTATATTCTGTAACAGCCATGACAGAAAATGGAAATACATATGAGCATAATACACAATGGATGGGGCAGGGTGTGGTACCTGTGTGGGCTTGTTGAAGGGAAGGCTTTGAGGGGGGTGATGTGCCAAAATGTGATGGTACACTGGCGTTTCCAAAGTAATCAAAGTTTGCAAAGTCTGTGGTGGCATTATTTTGTGCTACAGATGGCACAGGGTGAACAAAATACATTAATGAACAGGACTGATGAGGAAAATTAAGTGACAGTGTGAAATCATGAGCTGACTGACATCACGTACAAATTGTTGTAGAATAGGATAGTTGACATAATGACGCGTCAAGCAGTGACATTTAAAGGGATTGTTCGCCCAAAAATGAAAAAAATCTGTCTTCATTTACCCACCCTCATGTCACATTTGAACTCTTTTCAAATGTGGGGTCCAAAACAACATTGGATCCCCTAAACTTTCATCATATGGACAACCATTTTTTTTTGTGTTACACAGAAGCAAGCAAGCCATTCAGGTTTGGAACAACATGAGGGTGAGCAAATGATGACAATTTTCATTTTTGGGTGAACTATCCCTTTAAGTGAACGATAAAAAGCAACAAATGATTAATAGTGGTGAAACAATTAAAGCAACTTGTGACCAGCCACAGCATCTAAATGTTCTCTTCACCTTATACATTAACCTATACACCTTATACAAAAATTTTAATGGTTACCTGAGGGCCTGTTAAAATGTGCAAAATTAGCAAAGTTTGAGGAGCTGGCAGTTTGAGCTTGGGGGGCAGCAAAAATATCTCCACCCAAGTCAGAGAGGAGGTCAAACTTCTTCTCCTGGCCTGCAGGCTGGGCCTGAACACGACTGGTCACCGGGGACTGAGAGAGAAACGTGGGGTAGTCATGAAAAGAAAAACAGGGCATAACCTGGTTTTGCGGAGAAGAACTAGCTGTTTTGTGGCTCCAAATAAAAGTACAAACGTAAAGGTGGTTGCGTGTAGTTACCTGGTTGGATGGAGTCTTGGTAAGATGTAGGGTTTTGAGGGGCTGGGGAAGAACCTCTGGGGTGCTACTGGTACTGCTAGCAGATGAACCAGATATTGAGGCCTGCACAGAGGCAATCACCTTGGCTTGTTCTGGGGGAACATACCTGCAAATGAGGGCGGCACAATAACAGAGCTGTGAAATTGTAGGCCAACCTGAAAGGCTAATTCGCAATGGGCTCCCTGGGGATTTTCTAATGAGTTTTTAGAATAGAGGCTTTTGATTTATGAGTAAAATAAGGTCTATGCATGGTTAACATGACTTGAAGAGCTTTGTTCTACAACATAATTTACACAGCCATACACTACCGTTCAAAAGTTTGGGGATGTCTTACATTTAATTGTAAAAAAAATACAGCAAAAACAAGAACATTGTGCAATATATATATATATATATATATATATATATAATATATATATATATATATATATATTACAATATTAATGTTTTCTATATTAATATTTTGAAAGCATAATTTATTACTGTGATAGAAAAGCTGAACTTTCAGCAGCCATTATTCCAGTCTTCAGTGTCATATGATCCTTCAGAAATCATTCTAATATGCTGATTTGGCAACTTCTGAAAACAATTATAAGCGCTTTATATTTTTGAGGACAACTTCTGATGAATAGAAAGTGGATTTGAAACATTATAAATGTCTTTACTGTCACGTTTGATCAATGTAATGCAACCAAACACTTACTAACCCAAAATGTTTGAATGGTAGCGTACATGCCATGGATGGGAATTTTTCTATTTACAGCTTGTCTTCATGGTAAATTGC